AAGCTTTTAAAGACAAATAAAAGGAAAATTTAATAATGAATTTATTATAAACGAGGAAATTTACATCTTCATCCTCTTTAAATTGAATTTATAAAGAAAGACTATCTCTGATAGTCTGAGAGTAAGTTCTTAGTTTTTCCCGAGAAAAACATTAAAGATTACTTTAATATTTTGGTAATGATGGCATTTTTTCCAGTTTAAGTAGTTTAAGTAGACATCTCTGGAAAAAAAATCACCACATGCTCTTTCTCAGTATGCTAAGAGCTAGAGCTTGAAGTCGATTCTCCATGACTCGAACCTCCTTAACTGCCAACTCTGTTCACAATACTTCGAAAAGCATCAATCTACTGAATAGTACCAAAACAATTCTGTGACAGATATTAGTAACCAGTTCTTAACAAACTATCCATTAGCAAATATGTGTCTCGGGTCTTTAAAAGCATAAGATTCATATCTTGGTTAAACAGATCGTGAAGATATAAAGAAACTTATAAATTCTCTATTCGCTATCAATTTTTAAAAACTTCATGCAATAAGTCGGATTTAAAGCTTTCATTCGTGTTTCCACCATCTTCATTCTTTTTAGATTTAAAACAATAGCTTGATTCATTTTTCATGGAATATTTATGCATACATTTTTAAGAAAAGATTCATTCGAATCTCAAGAGATTCGAGTGCTATGTTGGTTTATATTTTATTTAACAAAACTAGAAGATATTTAACTTTATTTCATGGAAGGATCCTTTATATTGATAATAAAGAAAACCTTATGCTAATAAACGTGCGTACATACATGTGGGCACTAAAGATACAACTTCTGTAGACGAGAATTTGCATATTTCTTTTTCAATAACCTTAATTAAATTTTCTACGGGTATATCATGCTCAGTGTTGCAAATGTAGATGTCTACACCAGATGAAGAATGTAGATTCCTCAATAATTTTTGTCTAGCTAAGAAACTTTCTTCATAAAGATCGATTCTACATGTAGAAAGAAAAAAAACATCTACATGTAGATTGTGTCTACATGTAGAATCTGTCTACATGTAGATTCGATGTAGATGTCTATAATTCTACATTTTTTCCAGGTCTACATCAGAGAAGAATGTAGAATCGTAGACATCTACATTAAATCTACATGTAGACAGATTCTACATGTAGACACAATCTACATGTAGATGGTTTTTTTCTTTCTACATGCAGAATCGATTTTATGAAGAAATTTCTGTCTCAGAATTTATCTGATCCAGACAAATAGCCAGAATGCAACACTGATCATGCTTATGAAGTTTTCTTAGTTTTTTTTTTCAAATGTATGTATAACGTAGGACCGTTCATTTATTTGGTGAGGTACTCTAAAATGACAATTCTTGGTAGCTAAAATTAAAGTTAATTTAACTTCGAGAACTGATTTGAATTTTCAGAAAATTTGTATCCTTTAATTTAGGTTGGGGTTCATAAAAAGCAAACATCCTATGTACAGCTTCTTTAGCAAAGTATCAAAATTGTTGCATGATATATGATTAAATAAAACTCTTTAAAATCTTCAAAATTCATAACACATTTGAGAGTTTCAAAGTAAAATATGCCAAAGAGTTTCCAAGAAGCATTGATTCTTGAGTATAAAAGCAATGTATCAAAAATTTAAAAAAATATCAGCACACGTTCATTAATTTAGGTTTACATTGGTTCTCTAGAATTAAAATTAAAAAAATTTGAATCTGAACTCTTAGATATTGAAATTGCTCAAGTTCAGTTTAACCACAGTTTTGTATACAGTATCAAATGGCTTTTATTATTTTGTTGTAAATGAAAAAAAAAACAATCTTTCTTTATTTCAAATTTGGAATTATTGTAGTTTAAGTTACATTTCTTTCAGTCTTATTTTGACACCAGCCTGCATATGGCTTTAATTCAACTATATCTTGATTAATTATTAATTTTGATGAATGAGATTTACATATATCATGAAAATGTGGCATAAAACGTTTAAAAAAATTGCCGAGCTTGTAAATGAAAATTGAGAACAATGTAAGCATTGATTCATTTGTTGCTTCTTTACTGCATAAAAAACTCTCAAAAGTTTCAACAAAAAATTTTTTTATTTTCTATCGACAACCTCTTTTTTTTTTAAAAAAAAAACATCAATACAACTCAATACAGGATTATTTCTGCCTACCTACTCAATTTTCCTTTTTAACGATTGAATATATAAAAGCTTTTTGATTGTGTAACTTAAGCGCATTCTCGGTTTTACTCATAGTCACTGATAGTAAAATAATTAATAATTTTTGTTTAGCAATTAAAATGATTTGTTTGCATTAAAGTCCACAGTATCTGATATCATTGCCTACGCTCATAGTTTAAAGGATACCAATTAAAAAATTTCAGAGAAACAATTGTTTTGAATAAGGTGAATATAGATTGCAATAATGAACAATGATTGGGTGAAAAAATCAATTCTACGCACGATGATACTAAAAGAAATTTAAGGGCGTTGTTGAACTGATTTCTTGATATCTCAAAATTAAATTAATTTGGAATTAGAAACAGATTTGGGACATGGGAACAAAAAACAATAATCGACAAATCTTACAACTTTTATCCTCATCTTTCTCATTATTAAAAATTATTATATTCACACCGTTTTCACGTGTGAATGTTTTGTTTTTGTTCAGATTGAAAAATCAGCTTTTTGGATTTTGTGAGTTAACGAAGCATTTTAGCTATAAATGTATAAAAAAGAAAAGTTTGTGCCTGAAATTTTACATCTTATGCAAAAAACAGATTTCAAATTGGTTGCGGCGTTGCTGAAAAATACGCTTTCTGAAAGCAAGCAAGCAAGTTAATCGGCAGAAAATTTCAATAACGAGACATCGTAGAGACTTCTAGTTTTTTACATTTAATCCGTGCTGCTCTATAGAAGAGCTGTATTGTTTTTGGGCAAGGTAGGAACAGCCGTTGCTTCAAAAAAAGCAAAAAAAATTCCTTTCTTACGAATTTTTAAATTTTTATTTCCTGGTCAAAATCAATTTTGTCACTTTTTTCTTCGAGGGTTTATCCAAATGGATTGAAACTTTGCATAAATATTCTAATGCTTAAAAAAAATACAAACAAAACATCTTAAATTTTTTTGAGCAAAGAACCAAGAAGGAAATACATTTTCAATTTTGGACTAGGGGTGACCCTAGTCAAAATCAATTTTGTCACTTTTTTCTTCGAGGGTTTATCCAAATGGATTGAAACTTTGCATAAATATTCTAATGCTTAAAAAAAATACAAACAAAACATCTTAAAATTTTTTGAGCAAAGAACCAAGAAGGAAATACATTTTCAATTTTGGACTAGGGGCGACCCTAGTCAAAATCAATTTTCTCACTTTTTAATTCGAGGGTTTATCCAAATGAATTTAAAGTTTGCATAAATATTCTAGTGCTGAAAACAATTGCAAATAAAACATCCCAAAATTTTTTTGAGCAAAGAACCAAGAAGGAAATACATTTTCAATTTTGGACTAGGCGCGACCCTAGTCAAAATCAATTTTGTCACTTTTTTCTTCGAGGGTTTATCCAAATGGATTGAAACTTTGCATAAATATTCTAAAGCTTAAAAAAAATACAAATAAAGCATCCTAAAATTTTTTTGAGCAAAGAACCAAGTAGGAAATACATTTTCAATTTTGGACTAGGGGCGACCCAAGTCAAAATCAATTTTGTCACTTTTTTCTTCGAGGATTTATCCAAATGGATTGAAACTTTGCATAAATATTCTAGTGCTTAAAACAAACACAAATAAAACATCTTAAAATTTTTTTGAGCAAAGAAACTAGAAGGAAATACGTTTTCAATTTTGGACTAGGGGTGACCCTAGTCAAAATCAATTTTGTCACTTTTTTCTTCGAGGGTTTATCCAAATACAGTGAAACTTTGAGTGAGTATACTTATATTTATACAAAACAGTTTTTAAATATCTAAAGGAAGAAATGTATTCAATATGTCGTCAGACCCAAATTTTATAAATTTGGTTGTTCATTCAAAAACAACGTGACGCAAAATTTTGGCCAAAAAAATGATTTTTATTAATTCAGAAATGTGAGACCTGAGGATTAGAATGGTCATACAAAGTTTTACTGTATTTGGATTTATCCTCGAAGAAAAAGAAGTAAAAAACTAGATTTTGACTAGACCTGTCCCAAGTTCATAATTGAAAATGTATTTCCTACTTGGTTCTTTGCTCAAAAAAATTTTAGGATGCTTTATTTGTATTTTTTTTAAGCATTAGAATATTTATGCAAAGTTTCAATCCATTTGTATAAATCCTCGAAAAAAAAGTGAGAAAATTGATTTTGACTAGGGTCGCCCCTAGTCCAAAATTGAAAATTGATTTTCTATGGTGTACTTTGGTCAAAAAAATTTTTTGGATGTTTTATTTGAATTGTCATAATTCTGACATAAATCACATACCAATATTCCTTTTTGTATGCATAGCTTAAAAAAACGAAATTTAAAATTTCGACTTCCCCATCTGAATTTTGTTCATACTCTTCACTGTGGAAACCAAAAAACAAATTCTTTATCTTAAAACACTTGACAAAATAGCGACATAATTCAGGATTAATTACTTTTTAATAATATTTTAACATTTACGAGAAAATGTGCTTCAAATAAGTGTTAAGTATGGCCGAGATTTGGACCAAAATCAGCTATACTGGTTCATAGTGTTCCCGAGGGTGACAAACTTCAAACTAAGTGTTTTTGTAGCTGACATAATTATAACATAAATTAGTTATAACTTTTGAACTGTGTCGATCTATCCATAAGACTTTTGATGGTACGGTGTGAATATATCCGCATTGGGTTTCTACCCGATACACTAGTTTGGCAAACATTTGACATTCTTCAATTATTTTGCAAATTTATGGCAAGAATAACAATTTTAAAAGTTCTCAAATGCATGATTTTGGAATAAAAAGACAATTATTTTATTTTCACTTAAATTAAATTTTCAATAATATTTTTTTATTGATTCGAAAGCTTTTATTTTTTAAAGAAGAATTCCAATTTTTTGTCCTCAATCGTTTAAAAAATAATAAATAAATATTTCATGATTGGAAATGACATGTTAAAGTCCAAAAAAAATATTATTTCCTATCATCATTGTCATCATCGACAGTTTTCAAATTCACATGAATAACCCCGATTGCTTGCTTGTGCGAAAGAAAGGAAAACAAAATGTTTTAAGAGAGATAAGGAATAGAAAGCTACTGCATCTTCAGTTTTGTGGGTTGTGTTCTGGTTGTTTTCATTATGTATCGTCGGACCAATAATTTAATCAATACAAACATTCCAATGAAGAAGCATATCACATCGAACGAATAGAATTGCATGAATCTGAAATAAACAAAAGAACCGAGATAAATTTCAAGAATAAAATAATGTGATGGATACAATTTATCACAACTTTACCCCATATTTCTTCCTGGTGTCTGAAGATGATATGCTCCATTGTGACGAAGAACATATTCTGTCCAATATATTGCTGTTTCAAGTGGCGAAGTTTTCTGATCACGTAACAATGATTTTCTATATCTATGAATATAAACAGAATAATTAAAATATAAGGAACTGTTACAAAATATTCAATTGATGTGGGACGCATGTGATCTTAGAATTCATCACGCATTTTTTCAATTTTATTGGAAAACTAAAGTATGATGAACAGAAAAATATTGAATAATGAATAAATTGAAGTTTATTTTCAATGGAATATGAATGAACAATATAGTATCTAGCAATTTAAACCATTTATTCGCTAAACCTAGTGAAGCTAAAACTATGCTTCCTAAAGACCATTTGCTATGTTTATGCCAATTAAAGATATTTCTAGGATAAAAACCAGCCTTTAGCGTAGTTCTGGATCACAATAAACCAGAAAAGGTAATGGTTGTTTAAAACCAAGTATACATTTCCTGATATTTAAAGTCTACCCTTAAAAACTACCACAAGCTTATCAAATTCATATTAAATTTTGAAAACAACAGGTAAGTTTTAAACCAACACAATACTTACAATGCTTCTTTCCTATAGCTAGGATCATGTATCACAGTATGAATTGCTTTAAGCAATTGTTCTGTTGTGAGAGTTTCCAAATACAATTTGTAAGCTATGTGTGACAAAAACAAAATCATTCAGAATTTAAAGCAAAACAGAATTTTTATACAATCTTACCGTAGCCATCAATTTTGGCTTTTTCAGAATTTGCATCGTGATCACAAAAGACCGGAGCAACAACTAGTCATTAAAATTAAATTGTAAGCAAATTGATCAAATTCTTATTGTTCTATAAATTCTTACCTCCAGGCGCTCCATGAAAGACCATTTCGTACATTGATAATAATCCTCCATGTGTGATGAACGCTTTAAGTTTCTTATGTCCCAAAATATCCTGTTGTGGAAGCCATCTAGATATTCTGACATTTGACGGAAGATCATTTTGTATGGTTGTGGATTCATATTTCCATAGAACTCGATAAGGTAGCTTTGCAAACGTACGTACTAATAATTTTTGTAAACTATCTGGTGCTGTTTTCACTGATGTACCCATGGAAACGTATATAAATCCTACGTCATTTCCACCGCTTACAAACTCTTCTAAATCCTGTTTACATTTTAAAGGGAATTTAGTCAAATTGGTGTGAATTTTTTGGGAGTATTACAGATCAATTCCAATTTTAAGGTCACAACAGCACTAAAGATTCTCGGATTCAGTTGGAGTGTTTTTAAACTTCCGATCGACACTAATGACAAAGACAACGTCACTGAGTAATCCAAGTGGTTGTCATTTGTGTTGCTCGGAACTAGTCATGACTTTAAAATTTAAATGACATGATAAATCATCAAAAAAAAATTACTTACTTTTGGCAGAGGCTGTGCGGGCCTGCAGTGAATGCATGCAACTTCTGCAACATTAGGCATGAAAGCACGCGGATATGATACGGTGAAATGTGAATTTTGTAATATAAAGCTGACATTCTTTGATATATCGTACGGGTGTGGAATTTCATCATCAAGATTTTTACGTAAGCCTGTATGCAGTACGTTGATTACAATCTAAAAAAAAGAGTCATATGATATGATACGATGTGAATTTTCTATTATTGGCTGTGCGTATGTGAACATTCCTAAATATTAATTATTTTTAAAGTATTTTTTATGAGATAATTTGAAGTACATGCAAGCATGTCGTGCTGACGGAATGTCATGTAGTTTTAATAAACTTTTTTTTCTTCAAAAATTGAGACATTAAATTAATCTTTGGAATGGACAAATTTAAGTAATTATAATTGAATTGAGCCATTTTTTATGTTTATTTGCATGTGTTATTAGCTATTGCGAATTGAATTGACTTTTATTGCCATTATTTGATCGATTCATGACTTGGAAAGCTTCAAAAATTTCACCTTGAATGAAATATAATTTGCCGGCTTTTATAGAGAATGATTAGTGGATCAATAAATAGTTTAAGCAATTGCAAAACATGCCATAAAGTTTGGATTTGGTCCTTCATCTCAAGTGTCTTAGAAAGTCTTAATTTTAAGTATTAAGAGTCGCTGAGTGTTTCAATTGAGATGCATAAATCTTAAGAAATATGTTGACAAAATATATCTTCTTGGTTGTATTCCTATCTTGTATGATACAACTATTACAAATGCCACTTACTGCATTTCCATAACTGTCATAATCAATTGTCTCTTGGGTCATAACAGAAAATATTGAAATGTCATTCAACAATTCTCATTTCTCTCCTTTTCTTTATGTACAAAGAAACCCCTTCATCTTTTTCCAGAATGTCAAGTGCTTGAAAAGCATGTCGGAAAAAAAACTTTTCAAGCACAAGATTCGTTACATATTTTACTCAATTTTACTTCTTCTTGGTAATAGCAAATGCAAACTACTCATTTTTTTATCACGTTTGATTCTTGAACCGATGGCATTGAAAGTTCTGAACCAAGAGAATTGTGGATAATTTCCTACTTGCTTCCGAGAATTTTTTTTCTTGATGCAGTTGTAAGGAATAACAATCTAAGTATAAAAAGTTTCAGAGCTATTGATTTTCTCCCTGTGGTATGTTTTTTTGTGGCTTAAGACTATGTGTGGATGAATGTTTGAGGATATACTAAGTTTGCCTCAAAGGTGAACTGTTCTACCAACACTTTTTTTCAGACGAGAATGTTGCTTTTTTATTTTATGATATGATATTTAAAAAAGTTGCTATCATGTTATGCAAAGTTTTAAAAAACCCACTGTCCTTTCTCATGAGTTTTCAAGACTTGCGTGTCAAATGACGTCAACGAAATGAGATGTTACAATGACACAGCTCACTTCTTGTTCATAAGGGGCTGTTCACTTATTACGTAACGCGAAAAAATGACTTCTTAGACCCCCCCCCCCCCCACTCGTAACAAAATTTGTATGAAAAAAAAATTTCCTTGTTTGAATCGTAACAAAATCTTAGACCCCCCCCCCCCTCCCCCTAAAAGCGTTACGTAATAAGTGAATGGCCCCTAAGTGAATTTCTTACCCGATATACTCTACCCTAGAAATGAAAATGTATTATACTTGAGGATTTAAATGAGATTTGACAAAGTATCCAAAATAACCGAACAAATCAGACTCGACCACAATCTAACTTAAAATTAACTAAAGCAGAGCATTTCAGAGCACTTATTGCCTTATTTTCTATCTGTCTATAAGCAAATCCAACGGCAGATTCACCATTGATCACCAAATATATCATTTTGTTGTCTACCTTCTTACCTCAACAGTCCCTAAAACGATGGACATCATGAGTGAATGAATCATTGTCATTAAACAGAATTATTCTTTTTACTTTGCTCGACATTTTTTGTTCGATCCATTAAAAAAGTTTTTTAAAAAAATAAGAAAATAATTTTACAATGATCTTATGAGCTTTGTGTATGAGCCCTTGATAAATCTTTCCTACGAGTTCACGACCTTTAAAAATGGCACAAAATGACTTTTCAGTTCTAAACTTAGCTACACATCGAAAATTGACAAGATATAATCTTTATTGATCGATTTTTGTAATGTTTAAAAGCTGAAGTCATTTGATACTTTTTAGGATAAAGTTAAATCACTTCCAGGAAAATTCAATCAAAACGTTTAAATCTATCTGATTTATCATGAACTGAAAATTAAGTTATAAATCAGTTGGCAACGATCATTAGATTTGCATCAATAATGCTTAAGTTTTTCAAAAGTACAAAAAAATGAAACTAGCAAACTGTTTATCATGTACCAAAAAAATTAATATCCGATAATATATCCTTAGAAACGTCTTCTTTCTTAAATAAAATTGAATCAATTCTTTTGTGTCATAAAAAGTTTTTCATTCCAATAGAAACTTATTCAAGTTCACAGTTGAACAAGCTGGTATTGAAAACGTCATCGACAAGGACGAGTTTACAGTGCAAATGAATTCTGCATTGATGTATATAAAATATTCTGTGCATAAATTTACGATCATTCATGCAGTGTAATTGACAAATTGATATTCAATGAATAATTTATTGGTTTCTTTTTTTTCGGGAGGGAATTAAACTTCAATGAGTGTTTTTATAGCTGAATAATTTCACATGTGTTTTTGATTTGAAACATGAGATCCTGATTTAAAATTTATGGGTTTTTTGTAAAATATTGGGTCAACTTAAATGTTGTCATCAATACAAACTGTTAGGAATAGTAAATAATAAAATGCAAGCCTAGTCAATTGAAACGGGGTTAATCATTTGATTGTTAGTATTTACATGCAACCAGAGTTGGCAAATCTGTTGCTCAACAAGACATGTTAACTGTGACAGATCATGATGATATTCTTGACTTTATCTGTAAAACTGACCAAATGTCAAATACATAAAGGTCACATGTTTTAACATGTTTGGGGCCGTTCACTTATTACGTAACGTGAAAAAACGACTTTTTAGACCCCCCCCCCCCCCCCTCGTAACAAAATTTGTATGAAAAAAAAATTATTTTGTTTGAACCGTAACAAAATCTTAGACCCCCCCCTCCCCCCTAAGAGCATTACGTAATAAGTGAACGGCCCCTTTCAATTCTAACTGATTTCAGAAACATAACCCATAACATCCCCGATTAAACTTCAATTAAAATTGCAATCAATCACAAAAACAAAACGTTTAAAGATAAATAACTTACCGCATGAGCAAACTGAAGGAATGTGTGAATGACTGAATTTGCAACACGTTGTATGAACGTCATATTGTCTGTAAATGCAAGTGCAAAGTTTGGTGTAATGCTGAATGGAGTTGGAGAACCAGAACGTGATATTGAAGATGTATAAAATCCGACAGTGTTAAGATACATGAATGGTATATTGTACATGTATTGAAGTCCTAAGGCACATTCTGTAAAATGACGCTTGTATTTATATTGGAAGGATAATTGAATGACAAATTGATTGTATACCTGGATAAGCACCATCAATTATCATCAAATCAAATGTTGAGTTGAGTAATTCTTTGGTTTCATGATCGTTCAGCATTGCGTCGCATGCCTAAGTGAAAGAAACTTTTAAAATAAATTATGTTTAATGCAAATTGAATCTTACAAACCTCAACTGGATATCGAAAAATGTCAAATAATGGAATTGGTTGCAAGTTCTTCATTCTTCTTCCTGTACAAATAAATATTCATAGGTCATATGATGCTGTTCTTTCAATTTTTAACGACATCATTTCATTTCACTTACCCAGTAAATCCCAATTGGTATAATTCTGAATATATCCGACAAGGTTTCTCGGCGTTATTTCCACTAAACCATCGAGATGAAAATCAGGTGGAAATCCATTCAGGAACGTGATATTGTGACCGCTGTGATGTTTGAGATATAAAAATTAATGATTTTAATTGGATTAAGAAGAGAACAGACATGGAAATTCAATTGAGTGAAATAACAAGCTGCTGGGCGAAACTTTTGCATGAAAAGAATTTTCTGAATAAAAATTGTAATTCATGGTTGACTTACGATAGGCTTGGATTTAGAATCGAGGTTAAAAATAATCTATCTTTGACCTTATGCTCGAATTTAGATAAAAAAATGTTCAAAAAGTCATATCCCAAGGCTTAGTCACTGCCAAGAATTTATCTAGGTTTAAAGACATAATTCCATATGTAACATTGCTGGAGTTCTGTCTGACTGACATAAAATTTGAGGCTCAAAGTTAAAAAATAAGTCACAAAAGCGTTTACTGCACTGCGGCAAGTTACCCATTACGTTGATTCACGATTAATGACAATGCTATAGCACTTTTAATTAATGTCACAATTTCAAACTCATCTCTGTAATCTAGTCCGTTTTACTTACCGATTAATTAATCCTTTTGCTAATTCCCAAAAGGGAATTTTATGTGATTTTGTGCCACCCATCGTGACCTATATGACATGATAAAAGCGAGGCATCAAAAAAATCATTAAAAACATTTTTCGAGTACGAACGAGAGAAGTTCAAGGTTGGGAAAAGAAATCTCATGTAATACCATTAAAATATTTTCACTCAGACATGATGTGCTGCACAGTGTGAGAAAGAGTATGATTGAGAGATTAAAGTTGACTTGTTTTTGTCGTCTCATCGCTGCATTTGCTATTTACTTGTGGTTTTAGCTGAAATTAAATTGAGTAATTAGAAATGAATAATAATTCTCACTTTCAATGACTATATATCTATTGATTGAATGAGAAGGATGACGATAAAATTTTATTTTAAAAATAATACTTCTTTGTGATGTGAATAATAGATTAAAAAGGATTTGCTGATGCTTTTCCTAACGACAATGATAGCAACAGCATTAGTCACACATTGGCACTTCTGTGATTTAAGAATTATTGTCGCTTGGGATTTTTGTAATGGATTGCAGTATGAGGGAGTTAAGATTCAGAAAGATCAGAAAATATTTTTAAAAATCTATTTTTAAATAAATTTCATAAAGGAATTAGATAATTAAACTGTTCCTCTAACAAAACTCAAAGGGCGCAAAATCCTTTTGAAGTACTTTGAAGATTTAAAAATCCAAAACAATTCCTTAAAGTAAATAATTTGAAAAATTCCACGTGAATCTTCGTTCTTAATTCCTCTTCAATCCTCTTTTATAGACAACATGTCTCTTTCAAAATTGTTTATTCTGAACTCATCAAGCCATCTTGTTCAAGTCATCTTGTCCCTGAATTTGAGGATGGATAATAAAAAAAAGGAACTGTCTTGAAAACGTGAATTCCAAAGCTACATGTGAATTGTGATACAACTGATAATTTGTATAATATTTTCACTACAGCTAGTGATGTAAAATAGTATGAAAACCAATATATTCAATGCATAGAATAAGTTGTGTAGTAAAGAGGGTAATTTTGCATACAATTACTTCTATTGTTGCGCATCTTACATGAGGATACTGGAATCTAGGGTTTTTTGATGTAAGGACTTAGCCATTATTTAGTCCAAGTTTAGAAAATTGATTGGGAATCAGACATCAAAAGAATCATACTACAATAATTCAATAAACATTATAAAATAAGGAATAAAATTTAGCTAGAATTTTGTCGATGAAGGAACTAAAGTAATCGAATGGAAATTAGAATCTAATAAAAAACAGTTCATGTTATTTAAATTTTAAGACTTAAAGCATGAGAAAAGGAACTACCCTTAGTAATACATCTACAAAATCTACTCAGCATTAAGTCTCTTGAGAGCTTTATTCAAACACTGATGAATATCTTATGTTGGATTTTATTATAAAGAGGATGAACAAGGAAATGTAAAATAATCTCCTGATTAAAGACATACTTCCTATAGCTAATACTAGTTATTGAATACAAACTCAGCAAACGACATGTTCGAGTATTGTTAAAATGAATTTAAATACCATAGAGGCAATTGACACAGCATCATAAAATGCAAATGCAAACATTTCAACATAAAATCCCAAATTTCCCATAAGTTATGAATAGCACTTGATTCAATGGGAAATTTGTCGAAATATTTTGACTCATACGCCCATGAGAGAGACGGTAAACAAAAATTATTCGCGACATGACCCAGACAAGAAAATAATGATATTATATTCATGAGGAGCAAGGTGAGCAAGGCATCGTGCGTATTTTCCAATAACAAGAATTCAAAAACAAAAATTCGCGAGTGAAAATAAAGCCAGAGATATAAAACATAATGCAAGAGTTAATAGCCATAAGTGGCAAGTACCCTTTTACACTTTGCAGAAAACATTGAATTTATGTTCAGCAACAGTTTTAAAAGTAATTTATCATGTTGAAATAATGACGATCGATTAACGTCATTTACGTATTTTGTATCTAAAAGCAATAACAACAACTACTGACTACGCAGATGGGAAAATTCAATGTTTACATGTCGCAATGATGTGATATTGAGAACAATAAATATTTCGCAATTTTTATTCATTACATGTCAATAAACCGAAAATAAAGGAGGTGAAATTATGGTAAGAAAATTTCTCCTTCGACGGTGAAGGTCGCGTGTATTACCTCACATATATTTTTATATCTCATCATTGCCATAAAGAAATGAGAACGAAAAATTATTAATCAGCGTTGTGAATCACGAAATTTTATTAATTTTATGGCGCATTTTGGAAGTTTTAATTCTTAACGGATTTTTAGGTCTTGAATTAAAATAACCGAAAAGTGAAAAACAAAATGGCGAATTTTTATCACCTCGAAAAGTAATTTTGAATTTAAATCAAAACAAACGATTTATTAACAAAAGTAATAATGCCAAATTAATCAAAATTGTGGCAAGAATCTGAATAACAACATTTAGTAAAGTGAATCCCAATTTTTCAGTCATTTACTAATTCAATCTCCCAAATTGAGCTCAAAAATTCATCATTGCAACAAAAATCTCACAATGAAAAATTGGTCTCGCTATTAATATAATAAATTCACCAGCCCATAAATGTAAGATAAGTAATAATACGACAGCTAGTACATCACACATATCTCAGTTGAGTCATCGACAAAATTTCTCAAAGTAACAAAAACAATCGCGCAATTGTTGTTGTTTAGCAAAACGTGCAATTTTCATCTCTTTCAGACACTGATTTCTTTTTTAACGGCTTTCTGTTTACATTTCGTTGGGTTCGTCTACGTTTAAATTTCGATTACAGCGTTTAGCGTACGAAAGAGACGAAGCGAGAATCGAAAATCACAAGCAGCACAAAATTACAGCATAATTGAAAATTAGTTAAATTACTTGTAAAGAGAAAAATATATTATGCAATTTATTGTCTTAATTATGAATGATTCTTTGCTTAACATGCTGTTTATTGTTGTACATAATAGTGCATCTCGAGTTGTGAAGGCCTTATTTTTGAATGTGTCGTTGACGCATTGCACACAGACTGTTAAATGTTATAATTCAGTTTTCATTTTAATGTCAATAAAGTTTTTCGAACTCTTTCTTGTGAGATGATGATGATGAGATTAAGTTATAAAAATGTTTATTAAATGCAGATAAAATTTATAAAAGCTAATGAATTTTATGGTATGATAAAAAAAAGTTTGGCGAAGCTTCCGAAATGATTTAACCATTTAGGTGAATTTTATGAATTTTAAAAAAAAATTTTAAAAACTTTAAAATCAAAAAAACTGTTAAATTTTTAAAATTTAATAAAGACAACTAAAATATCAAAATACAATCCGAAACTAAAACAAGACAATCAAATTATTAACAAGCAAACAGCAAGAAACAAAACAAAAGCAGAAAGAAAGATAATGGAAATTTAAAACAATTTATTTCGTGCCTTCGCACACATTATAATAATAATTTTCACTTGTTGACGCTTACTACATTTCGGAGATTACCTTTGTTTTAATATTCGACGTAAATAAATCGCATTTCTTTATCATTTTTAAGCACAAAATGAATTTTTAATTCGTTTCTTCATAGCTCATGTTGTTATGTCTAAATTAGCACTGAAATTAAATGAGATTTCAGCTCGCACATATGATTGTTTTGTGCATAATTAGAGTGAAAAACATTATTGAGCAAAAATGTTAATTATCATAGCAGAAATTGCTTAAAAAAAATTAATCGATTGAATTTATGCTTTCATTGCTCATATGTGAGGTATTATGAGTGTTAAATAGGTATGGCAATTGAGTTGTAATGCGTAAAATGAAATTATGTGGGAAAATATGTGAAATACTTATGAAAATTGTCGATAAAATTCTCAAAAATAAAATTATGAAATCTCCTAAATTAAACTGCAGTCGTTGGAGTAGGGGGGGGGGGGGGGGTCATTCATGAAGTTTATGAAAAATAGAATTTTGAGACCTGCTTTTTTCATATCACTAGACCCCCCCCCCCCTCTTCATTGAGACGTTTGACTCTCACAACCTCAACGCTCAACACCTCCCCATGCTATTTACTACGCAAAACGCGGCAATGAAGCAACCAATTTTAAATCGAACAAAATAATTTAAAATAATATAATTTTATTTTTAGATAGGTATCAACAAAAAAATTCATTCGGGTACGGAGAGAAATATTTTTAATTACATTTTTAACAAAAAAAAAATGCCAAGTGAATGTCGATTAAGCTTTCAGCGATGGTGAAAATTGAAGGCAAAAATAGATAAATAATTTTTATTACTAAGCAATAAACATTTTTTTTTATCCTTGATATGAGCTAATTTTCGAGGGTGCCGATGACATTCAGATTTTATAATTGAGGAGGAGGCGTGTTGATTGAAAATTTATCTGAGCTTTTTATCAACTTTTTTTAAAAGTCTAATTATTAAAATTATTTGGGGGCGTGCATCAATTAAAATTAATTCTGTTGGTATCTGGGTTGATTTTTATGTCAAAAGTATTTTTGGGTTAAAAATGTTCAAACAAACTTCCTGAAGTAAAACAGCACTTTATAAATTATTGGAGGCAGTTCACTAATGACGTCCTTCGAGACATAAAATTTTATGTCTACCCTATTTCTTTCTGAGTCACAAAATTCTCAAATAAATGTGATTTTGTGCGGTCCACCACTTATGAAGACTCCCATTCGCAATTTTCGCTATCGGTTTATCTATCGCAGCATATCCCAAAGCCATTCAAGCGTTCAACAATCAATTTCAGTTGAAGTCCACTTGGAATCGTCCTTTATTTCCAATTAACTTTGGAGCAAAAAATTCAATTTCAACAAAAAAAAAGTGAATCGCGATCCACATTCATCAGATTTATCACAATTGGTGTCATAGACTGTTGACGTCATTGGATAGGCAATCGACAAACTAATTAGACAGTTGGTTGAATGATTAAACTGATTGATTGATAATTTAAATACTCAACTATTTAACCAATCATGTATATCCATATGATTAACTACATAGCTTGTTAACTGTATAATCAATTGATTGATAGAAACTGTGAGTTTGCAAATTATGAGACATGTTACATTTGACCGACTTTTTGAGCTAGAAGGAGACAGGAATGGGAGGTTTGATAGATTATGAATAGGCTTTTCCAATTAAACTGTTCGTCCTTATCTTCAATTTCTCATTCTGAAAAATTGACATTGAGTATTTCAATCAATGTCACCTAATCTGGTCAGTTGGAATAAGTTTAATCATAAAGGT